GGGACAGAGCGCGTCCGCCTCTAGTCCATACTCAAAAAGTCTCTGCCTACACCAAGTCGCACCTGTCATCACACACTGTAGCAAACCTTTCCACTTAAAGTCCTTACGCTTTGCTGCCAGGCGGCATTGCTTTCTTGGGCCTGACATCTCTGGCACCTGCTGCAAGCCTTCTCCCATCCAGGAGTTCTTTGCAGCGCCTGCCCAGAGCTTCCTACCTACACTGTCTGCTATACTGGCAAAAAGGACGTGCGACTTGTCCAAAGGCCCTTTCCCTATCAGCTCGACAGGCGCTTCAAATAACTCATCTATATCGCTGTGCCAGCGCCGCGGGCCTTCAGGATTCCAGCCTAGATCGAGCAAAGTGCAAATCGTTGCGGCCATGGGTGAGCATACTCGCCTCCAGCGATTCTTCTTGGCCCTGCAGCTCAAATTGGCGAGCACTCTGCTCCAGCCTCTCTGAACTCGCTCTGGGTTGATCCTCCGGTCTCCTAAGATAGAAAACCACATCTTAACTACATCAAAGACCGCTGTGTAGGCTGGGTCCTGTGTCCCATACTCCAGCGCGAGGAGAGTGGTTAGGCATCTGCCGTGCTTCTTCCTGCTCGACAGGTCTGCCAATGCCCGTCTCCACCGCGTTACTACACTGGGAGCTGTCCCATACACTTGATCCGAGTAACGAGACTGAGCGAACGCCGAGACCGAAATCATTCTCTTGGACAGCTCCCGATGTTTGCGCGCTCCACGTGCAAACCTTGATAACTTGCGAATCTTAAAACTTGTTGCTGCGCGCCTCGCTGCTTGCTTTGGCCTACTCTTCGAAATCCTGCCCCTATCAAGTCCCAAATCTGGTGCATTCGGCTTCACCTGAATGCTGATGTTGGCGTCTTTAAACCGCTGGGATAACTCTCGAGCTGCTACTGGCGATGAAGAGATGATGCATGACTTGGCCGCTGTAGCCAGGTGGATGTCGCGCAGGCCTGCAACTAACTGCTGGCCCGCACGAAACAGCGTCTCCACTAATCTCTGCCTGGGCGCTTCACAACGCTGCACTATGTCGTCGACCCATGTGTGCAAACTGGGAGAAGGAGGTGGGCATCTGGCCACTTCCTCGCAGACAAAATACAGGGCACACCTGCCTAGATCCACAGCTCCTGTTGAGCCTGGAATCAGAGACAGACTCGGTTGTATAGCTTCTGAGAAACATCCTTCCTCCCTCAGGAACCTCGGCGACATATGCATCTGAAGCTCCAGCGCCAGATAGATCGCTGGGAAACCTAAAGCGAGTGCCTTCGAAGCTACGAGCTCCCACCGCAGGGAGTCATAAAAACCTTGAACATCCCAAAGAAGGCTGGCGTGCTCTAGGTCTGGGAGGCATGATTGCTCTGCAAGCTCGTCCTGAAACGCTCTCCAAACAGCTACACGCAGCGCCGATGAGCCCGCAATGGCTGTGTCCCAATGCCCCGCTCTCTGCGCACACCACTGCGCCCTCTCAAAATGACGGAGTCTGCCCCAAAGGCGGGGTAGCCACGGCAGTAGACCTATGGCCCTGTCTGCCTCTCTGTTCTTGACCTGCAACATGACTAAAACCGTCATAAGCTGCCATGGCCAGCAAGCTCGCGCTTCGATGGAATTAAAAAGATCTGTAAGCTGGCGGATCCCCGCTGGGGGCAGAAAGGCAAAATCTCGCTTGTTGCACTGATCAACTCCATTCGCTCGACATGGCACTCGTGCTATTACTCTCTGAACGCGCTCAGGATCCAATGGCGGGAGTGGGTTCAAGATGGCCTGCCTCTGCGCCCGTCGCCACAAAAGAACAGCCTCTGGAGTGCATGGGGTGCCCGCCCCCCACTTGGCGCCCCACACCTTTTCCTTGAGACTGATACGGCTGATGGCGTCTGGCGCTGAGGTCGTGCCTGACCTCACTTCCCCTACGAAAACATTCTTGGGCTTGATCATCCTATAAAGACCCTTGCCTCCTGCCAGGGCTTGCTGCAGAACCCAATCCTTAAAACCTTGCTGGTTCACACTCTGCAAAACTCGGTGCGCCCTGGTCGCGTTTTGTCTTGCCCTGAGACTGAAATCCGCGATCTCTCCGTCAGACGCTTTGTCGAGGTGGCCAAGCCCCTCCTTCCAGACTCCCCACTGCCGAGAAGGAAGAGGCATGAGGGACGAGGAGGGGAGCTGGCTCACGAGCTCGCGCACTCTGGTCAGGAGCGTGTCGAAACGCGATCCTCTCTTGGGCAAGCAACTCCTGAGTTCTTCTAACAGAAACGCGACTGTGGCCCACCAGTGTGCGACTGGATCTGACGCTGAAACAAAGGTTGCTCCCTGCGCTTCTGGCTTGAAAAC